TCATTAAATATTTTTTATTTTATAATTTAATATAATTTAAAAAGAAAAGAAAAAATAAGATATTTTAATATTAAAAATGTTAAAATATTTAATAATAACCATATGATAAATTTAATAAAATTAAAAGTCATATTATACCTTACATATTTAATGATTATAATTAGATATTTTGACATTTTTAACTCAAAACGTTCTAATTTTTTCTTTTTTTCTAATTTAAATTACAGAAAAAAAAAACTTGTTTTTAAAAAAAGGAATTAGTTTAGATGTCATTAAAATTTATGAAACTTAGAAGATTAGATGCAAAGCCCTATTACAAATGTTAAAAATTTTTAGGGAGTAGAAAAAGCAAAAACCACTTTTAAAATGCCGAGTTTCTGCTTCTGGAGTGGAGAAGCTCTTCCAAAAACAGAACAAATCGGGATTAATCTAAAAATGAGAATGGACTAGATGGAGGATATGTGGCATCATAAACTCGTTTATTCATATTTTATCATCTGCTGCCTTAAAATGACAATAACAAGGTTGAATATTGAAGTTTTTTTAACATTTTCAGGTGACGCTGATGGGCCTGATGAGGAGGGTTCTAGGGGATGATTTGTTGTCTTCCAATGGTCTTGGAACTGCCAGTGTCAGCTCCAAATCAGGTGCTACATTGGTTTCTACTGAACTTGATGATGTTTTGGTATGAGAATCAATGAATCCTTGCAGCAAAACCGGCATCTCCTGATGCTCAGAAACATGATGGATTCCATTCAGAAAGCTTGTTGTTTCCAGATATTGACCAGGAGTTTGATCACTAGACATGGAGCTGATGCTCATGCTGCTGCTGCTTTTAACCTGTTATGTTCAGAAACAATTAAAATCACATTCAGGATTTTTAGAATCTGAGTCAGAAAAGATGAATTAATTAGAGAAGGAGATTGAGCCTTCATGTGGAGGTTTTAAGTTTGAATCCTGAAATGAGTGGGAAGGGTTAGAGAAGGGATAGTTATTGCCTATTATATATTCCATCATCAGATGTACTAAAAAGAGGGAAATAGAGAAATTAATAACTCACCATATCAAAGAGGCTTGAACGTCGCTTCTTCTTGTTGAGACTTGCCTGCCTTAGAAAATACTTCTGAGCATGACTGGCTACTTGGGTTGGAGTTCTTGTAGTCACAAAGTTTCTGGAAATTCCTCTCCAATCTCCCTTTCCAAGCTTCTCTAGCCCCAGAAGAAATGTTCTGTGCTCCTCCTCTGTCCATGGAATTCCTGAACACACAAATCTTATCAATAAAACTCATCTATATTTCAACCACAACATCTTCAATCAATTGTTTTCATCAGATTATCAGAAACATGGCTAGCTTGGTCCCGTTGGTACCGCACTAAGGTCATGTTTGGTTGGATGAATGAGAAATGATTATTCCATGCTTCTGTCACTTTGATTCTAATTAGTTGAATGAAATAATCATTCCATCAACCAAACATGAAGTAACTTCTTGCCAAGCAAGAAAAAGGAAAATCAAAACTGACCCTTCTTTCTCTCTTGAGTACGACCCATGAGGCCATCAGAGAGATAACCTGAATTGTAATCGAGCGAGACTCGAGGGGAAGAAAGGGAAGGAGAGGGAGATGAGGAGGGAGAGACAGAGGACAAGCAATCCATGCTGAAACTCTTCTTCATAGAGATGGAAGAGCAAGAAATGTCAAGCTGAACACCAAAGAGCCTAAGGCCACCAACAGCAGTGCTTCGATATGCTGGGCAGGTCCTTGAATTATGGCCTATGTTCCCACAATGTGAGCATTTCCTGCCCATTTTCATCCAGACAAAGCTCAAACTTCTAATTAAGACTAACAACCAACAATTCTCATCAACAGAGAAGCAGAGAGAAAAAAATACAAAAGAAAGAGGAGGAGAAAAGACCAAATAACCGATGTCTTTGGTGGTATATATGATGATTGGACTCGGTGGGGTTCACGAAAATGGATGCATACCCAGAGAAGGTTGGATGGACATAGTTTATTGTTCGATATTTTTTCAACTTGGGTTTTTTTTTGCTAACCAAAACAAAGTACACAGGCACATCTTTCTTAAGTATTATCCTAGTATTGTATTATTCATTCTTGGGGTTTACATGTAAGAGTGGAGTCTTATATTAGACAAAGACAAAACATATATATAGAGATCATGAATATTCTTTTGGATTCAAAATAATATCTAGATTTTAAACTTATGTATTGATTAGTTTTATTTGTGAAATGTGCCAGTTTGATTTCTCTGATAAATGACAAAAGGGCTTATGATTCAAAATTTAAGCAAACATAACGCAATAATTTTTAAAATTGATCCCCAGAGTCGACTTTAATGTTGTGGGGGAAATGCATTCGTTTGTGCAAAATAATAAGATAAATATATATATATATATATGTGAAGCCTTATGAACTATAGTTTAATATTTTAAATTAAAGATAGCATTCTGTATTTTACCTTGATTCCCAATCTCTCGTCGGCTCGATATCCCCAACACATTGCCATAATGAATGTAGCCAGATGAGTAATTTGGGGACCCTTTTCAATGTACAAACCAATACGTATATATGTTATGTATTTAGTCTTATTTTAATATGGACAATTGATATGCAACATCCTGGGAGATAATTTCACAGTTGCAGTTCAAAAGATCTCTAATTAGAAATTTTCAAGTTTAGATAGAGGGGAAAGTGTTGTTGTTGTTTAACACATCACGAGTTAGATAAAAATTATGTGTGACGATTAATCATTCCTGCAGTGTTCCCTTTAATCGCTAGCTGATGATGGACAATTAATCCTGCAGGATGCACGCAGTACTGTTACCAATCAAGGCCTGGACTGCTATTTAATTACGTAAATGATATAAATAGAATTGTAAATTTACAAAAATGATATATTAAATGAATTGAATTAATGTATATATATAGTATTATACACATGATTTTAAATAAAAGAGTAAATCATATAATAATATAATTGTAAAGTTATGATGTCTCATGATGTTGTAACAATAATATTTTCAATTAAATTATAAGTTTGACAAATTTAAAAATGACAACAAATTTAGAAAAATTCTTGTATTGCATATATATATGCCTTTTCCTTCTCCAAGCACGTATATGAAGATTTTTTTTTTTAATATTAATAATATTAGTCTAGACTGGTAAAAAAAATATTGAACTTAAAAAAACTATAACAATGTCTTTAAAGCTAATATGGTTATTCTTAGTCATATACTTTTTGTCAATCCAAATTAAAAAAAAAAAAACCAATATTTCAGTTTTTTTTTTCTTTTTTTTTTTTTTTTAAAGGTTATACCATTTGCCCAAGAGTTGGGGGTGGGAGAGTGAAGACAGGGTCAAATAATAGTTTGAACAAGGGTTGTTTTATGACTTGAAAATAGTGAGAAGAAGGATCATGGAAAAATAATTAGAATTTTGAAAGTTGAAAGATTTACTCTTTACAGCCATCCCTTCAAGACCAAGGTAGGTGAGAAGGAAGGTGTGAAGGAAAAACCATGGAAGAATCTGAGTATGATTTATTTCTTTTTATTTAACTCGGAAATTTGTGGGGCAAATTAAGGCGGTTCATCAGTTTGAATTGTATGGCTTCAAAATCATTAGCTGATCCAAGCATAATTTTTCTTCCAGTGCATCTTTCATCATTTACAGTCACAATTTTAAGTAGTATAATACTGTGATCGACTCATTCTAATTAGTGGAAACGTGAGTGAATATATACCCCTCATTTAATATCACATATATATATTTTATGTAGAAATATAAATAAATATGAAGATGAGATATGGTTGTTGTCACTCATGATTTTATTAAG